CGCCTCCACCCCGCACTAGAACCCTCTGGCAGAACCCCTTCGCCCCGCGTGCCAGAAGCCACCGGCCAAACCCCTCCGCCCCCCGTTCGCCACCCCTCCGCCCCGCGCGCCAGAAGCCACCGGCGAAACCCCTCCAGCCCCCGTGCGCGACCCCGTACGCCCCGTGCGGGAACCACCTCTGCTCCATATAGCCAGACCCGCGGCCCGCGCGGGCACCCCCCCCGCCCCGCGAGCGCCAGACCCCCTCCCCCTCGCGTGCGACCACCGTCGCCCGTGACCCCTCCGCGCGCCAGTCGGAGAAGAGAGAGTGAAGAAAGAGTGAAGGGAGAGTGAGGGGAGAGGGCAAAATAAACGTTGAAATGGAGAGTGAATGGAGAGTGTAGGAGAGTGTAGGAGAATGGTGAATGTAGAATAAACGTTGAAAGGGAGAAGGCAGAGTGAATGGAGAGTGTAGGAGAATAAACGTGAATAGAGGTTGAAAGACTTTGATAATCGTAAATAAGAAAAAAGAGACGTTGAAACCCGTTGGATACCCGTTGGAGAGACGTTAAAGAGCCGTTGGACTTGTATGTATAAATTGATGTCCAGTTTTGAATTCATTTGCATTCAATTTTCAATTCATTTGCACTCAATTTTCAATTCATTTGTACTCTGTTTTTCACATTGCGTAGTTCATTTGCACTCTATTATTCGTTGAGGGAAATTTTGAGAACTTCTTTGTTTGTGTTTGCATGTATGAAAAGGTAGTGTTTTTATGATCTTTGTTGAAAAATGGAACTTTTGGGTGGATTGCATGTGGGTCTTCTGGCTGTTTTGCAGGATTTTGGTTAAGTTTTTCGAACTTGGTGGGTTGCTAATGAACCTCGCGCTGAGCGTGGTTCTTCGCGCCGAGCGCGAGACCACCTGGGGGCTCCTTTTTGTCAAGCCCCTCTCTTCGTCATTGTAGCTGTAGAGACATTGTATTTTTATGAAAAGTAAGTGTACTTTCTCTGACACACGCATGCTTTGACTTGTGGATACGCGCTTATCTATCTTTCTTCTTTCTTCTCACAAATTTGATGACTTCGTGTGCTCTTCTATGAGTGTAGATGATATTTGATATCTCTTGTTGTGAATAGTGGACTTCAGATGCTTTTTAGTATTCTTCGTCTATGTCTGGTAATGCATCTCAAATTTGAGTCTTCGTTTGAGAAGTAGACTTTGACTTTTCCTTCCATCTAATCAGTTGTGAAGATGGAAGACTTTAATTCTGTCTAGAGCGTTTCTTCGTCTTGTGTTATCCATTGTCTGATACTTTGTTGACCTTCTTCTAGTTTACCATTAAGCTTCATCTGATGTCTATACGGACTTTATCCGATGCTTAACCAACTTTTATCTTGTTCTTGATTTAGCCTTGTTTGATTTTGTTGGCCTTTCATCTGATACTTCAAGACTTTGCCTGGTAGTACTCCTTATCTTGTATTTGTTGTATTTTCGTCTGGCTTTTGATTATGCTTAGTCTTGATGCTTGATCAACCATCGTCTGATGTTTTGTACAACTCAACCAGGCTTCATTTGGTTTGACCATAGTATGTGTAATAACACGTACTTCATTTTTCAGTTTTGTCTGTTCTTATATTTATCTGAAACATTAACACACATGTTAGAAATAACAATATGTATTATATTTGTCATGTTCAAAACCTTGTTAGGAATTGCTTCGTCTGACTTAACAATCTCCCTCTTTTTTATGATGACTAATATAATCTATCAATTTGTTTCATATACAATATAACATACATACAAGTTTATGCATATCAAACAATTTATCAAGTTCATGCATTTCATATCATACATTAGAGCAATCATTAAGCATTTAAGGGTTTAGGGTTCTAAGGCTCTCCCCCTTAGTATATGCTCTCCCCCTCACTTGATTATCCCTTAGACAAGTTTGATAGATCTTTTCCTACTTCTCCCCCTTTGTAATTATAAAAAAGAAAGAGGTGTAGACAAAACAACAGTTTATTGTTCCTAGCCTATCTCTCATCCAGATGTATTTATCTTCTTGAAGGGGCTTGGTAAATATATCTGCTAGTTGTTCTTCTATTTTAACATATATTAGTTTGAAGGTTCCTTTTTGTACATTATCTCTAATGAAATGGTGTTTTATCTCTATGTGTTTAGTCCTATAATGCAAAACAGGATTTTTAGAGATGCTAATTGCAGCAATGTTATCACAAAGTACAGGAATACTATTCTCATAGATGTCGTAGTCCTCCAACTGATGTTTAATCCAAAGCAATTGCGTGAGGCACTATCCTGCGGCGATATACTCAACTCCACAAGTCGATAAGGCAACCGTACTTTGCCTTTTGCTAGTCCATGATACTAAGCATCATCCAAGAAAATGACATCCTTCGCTAGTGTTTTTTCTCTCCCATTTGTCCCCTGCGTAATCTGCATCACAATATCCTAATAGAGAAAAATTATGGCTTCTATATAAGCTGATTCATAGGTTATTTGTTCCTTTAAGATATCTTAAAATACGTTTAACAGCTTGTAAGTGTATCTCCTTAGGTCTTACTTGAAATCTAGCGCAGACACAATGCTTTTAGTTCTTTCCTAAACAGGGTGTTGTCAATTTTACCTCTTATAAAATTGTTACTTATTAAAAAAGAGCTTAGTTTATCGTACCACGCTCGTGGTGCCTGTTTTAGTCCATACAATGCTTTGTTTAATTTGAAAACATGTGATGGTAGCAAGTCGTTTTCAAAACCAGGGGGTTGGCTTACATAAACCTCTTCTAAAATTGTTCCATTTAAAAATGCACTTTTAACGCCCATTTGATATAATTTCATGCCTATAAATGCAGCAAAAGCAAGCAATATTCTAATTGCCTCTATCCTAGCAACTGGTGCAAAAGTTTCGGTAAAGTCAATACCTTCTTGTTGTGAGTAGCCTTTTGCAACTAACCTGACTTTGTTCCTTACGACATTTCCTGATTCGTCTAGTTTGGCATATTTTCTCTGAGAAATAGCAATACCAAACTTTGACTGAGCGACCTCAATCCCGATAAAATAACGTAGGGGGCCCAAATCCTTAGTTTGAAAGTGTTTAAATAAGTGTTGCTTCAAAGCCTTGATGCCCTCCTGATCATCACCTGTAATCACAATATCATCTACATAAACAAGATAGATAAATCTATGTGTCGATGAGCGTCTAAAGAAGACAGAGTGGTCTGTCTCGCAGCGGATCGTTCCAAATTACTGTATAACTTTGCTAAACCGACCAAACCAAGCACGAGGTGATTGTTTGAGGCCATACAAGGACTTTTGTAATTTACATACAAGACCAGACCCCCCTTGAGCAACGAACCCAGGAGGTTGATCCATATAAATCTCCTCCTCCAAATCACCATGTAAGAAGGCATTTTTGATGTCTAATTGAAACAAAGGCCAATGCCTCATAGCAGCCATAGCTAAGAAGAGACGAACTGAGGCCATCTTCGCAACTGGAGAGAAGGTGTCGCTGTAATCCAAACCATATACTTGCGTGTATCCCTTAGCCACAAGACGAGCTTTCAATCTATCCACCTGTCCATCAGGGCCCACTTTAACATTAAATACCCACCGACAACCAACAACAGATTTTTCAGGCGGAGGTGGGACAAGTACCCAAGTGTGGTTGGAGTCTAAAGCTATCATCTCATCAATCATTGCTTGTCGCCATCCTGGATGGGTTAAGGCCTCCTGTACTGTCTTGGGAATGGTAATAGAGGAAATAGCAGAGACAAAAGCATAATAGGTAGGAGACAAACGATGATATGAAAGAAAGTTATAAATAGGATGAGGATTACAAGTAGAACGACTACCTTTACGAAGAGCAATGGGCAAGTCAACTGAGTTAGGTGGGGCCGGAGTAGGTGAGGAGACTGAAGTAGGAATAGAATCACATGGCTCAATTGAAAAATCATTGGGAAGAACAACAGTATGTGATCGACACTCATAGGTTATCTCAAATCGGTGTAGAAGATGGTCAGACCCTGGCAGTGCGGGAGGATTTGGTGCCTCTAAAGTAGCAGGTGTGGTAGGAGGCACACTATGATCAAAATGAGGAATAGGCAATACCTGAGAGAGGAGATCTACGTCAACCGGAGAGACATCTGTGGCAATAAAATATGGTGTATCTTCAAAGAAAGTGACATCTGCACTGGTATAAAATCGATGCATAGCAGGAGAGTAACAATGGTACCCCTTTTGGACATGGGAGTATCCTAAGAACACACATTTGATGGCCCGAGCAGACAACTTAGCACGTCCTGAGAAAAGGTCATGGACAAAACAAGTACAGCCAAAGACACGAGGATGAACAGAATAAAGGGGATCCAATGGGTATAATAGGGAATGAGGTACTTGATCATTCAAGACAGACGATGGCATTCGATTTATTAAATACCCTGCAGTGAGGACAGCATCGCCCCACAACTTTGGGGGTGCATTGGCATTCACTAAAAGAGTACGAGCAGTGTCCACAATATGTCTATGTTTTCGCTCAGCTACACCATTTTGTTGAGGTGTATGAGGGCAACTAGATTGATGTAGAATGCCATAGGAAGCCATAAATGATTTGAAGCAATTTGAAAAATATTATTTAGCATTATCACTTCGTAAAATCCGAATTACTTTGCCAAATTGAGTTTTGATCTCCGAATAGAAACTTAGGAAAATATTGAATAACTCAGAACGATTTTTGATTAAAAATATCCAAGTACATCTAGAAAAATCATCAATAACGGTGACGTAATACCTATGTCCTAAAAGAGAAGGAATGCGACTAGGACCCCAAACATTAGAATGAATAACATCAAAAAGAGACATAGCTCGACTATTAATACTATTGGGAAAAGAAGCTCTAACATGCTTCCCTAATTAACACAATTCACACTCTAAGGACACCAACCGTGAGAGATGAGGTACCATTTTCTTTAATTTATTCAAGCTTGGATGACCCACACGACGATGGATTAAACCAGGAGACTCAACAGATGCACATATGGTAGAGGTAGAAGGCTGAAGGTAGTAGAGACCATGTGATTCAGATCCGACTCCAATCGTCTGTCCCGTACTCCGGTCCTGTATCAAGAAAGAATCAAAAGTGACGGTTATGACACAGTTTAGTGACCGAGTCAACTTACTTATAGAAATCAAATTAAAGGAGCATCCAGGAACTAGTAAAACAGATTTTAATGGTAGTGATGGGAGAGGTGATATTTAGCCATTACCAGTGACTTGAACTTTTGACCCATTTGCAAGAGTGATATGATGTGGAGTTTTAGGTGATGATAGGTTAGGGAAAAGGGAGGCATTACCAGTTAGGTGATCAGAAGCACCGGAGTCCAAAACCCAAGGTCCAATAGAAGTAGAATGAGAGAGACAAACTGTAGAATTACCAGTATGAGCAACAGTGATGGAAGAAGAGGCATGTTTAGTTGCCTTCAATTGAAGATACTCTTGATAATCATCGGTAGATAATGTGATTGGATGATTGCCCTCCGGTTCAATCTTGAGCTCTGGAGCTGAAGTTGGAAATTGAACCACATTAGCTGTCTTGCTCGGAAGCCCATGCAAGGAATAACACATGTCTCGTGTATGTCCATCTCTCTGACAGTAGGTACAATGGAGGTTTCCTCTACCCCCTTTACCACGACCACGACCTCGACCACGCCCTCGACTTCCACGGTCAGCTGTACTAGAGATAAAAGCAGAGGACTCAGATTCTGTGTGAGGATCTGCCTCTGGTGAAGGGACCCGAATCAGTCGATCTATGAGTTCTTCTACTGTAGGAATGACAGGATTTGTCAAGATTTGATCTCGAACAGATCCGTAATCTTTGTGGAGTCCTTGAAGGATAAACACCATAAACATATTATCAAGTTTGTTTAATATTTGTTGAGGATCATCACTAACCAACATTAGCTTGAGCTCATCAATAGTGGATTGAGCACGATTCAAATACGTTGGCAAATCATTATCAACCATACGAAGAGTTGCCAGACCATGAACAGACTCGTATATTCTTTGGATATCATTGGCATAGACATTTCGAGCCTTCTTCCAAATATCATAGCATGTCTTGTACGGACGAAAATGCACCATTAATTTAGGCTCAATGGACTGCCACAATAGAGATACAAGTTGATAATCTGTCCGTTGCCATTCATCTCTCACCTCTTTATCAACTTCGGACGCCCTTTTAGTAAGATGATCATAGAGACCCTGACCTAAAAACCACATTTCAACCGCAGTGGACCAATCCAAATAATTTTTACCATTAAGCTTTTCAGATGTAATAGTAGGTGATCCAGAAAAGGCAAAGGAGACCAGCCCCCTTTTGGAAGATTCAATTTTTGGATTCTCCTTAGGAATCTCTGCCATGAAGAGAAAAAGAAGAAAAACAGCAAACAATCAGCCACGAAACTCCGAGGTAGCAACCAATCAACCACGGAACTCCGAGATAGCAACCAAACCACCATGGAACCCCAAGACAGCAACCAAACAGCCACGGAACCCCGAGACAGCAACCAAACAGCCACGGAACTCCGAGACAGCAACCAAACGACCACGGAACTTCAAGGCAGCAACCAAACGACCACGAAACTCCGAGGCCGCAACCAAATGACCATGAAACTCCGAGGCCGCAACCAAACGACTACCAACAGACCACCTAGAGTGTGTGACCCACAACCTGAAAAGGGCCAAAACGAGAAGAGGGAGGGCCAGCGAGTCCAACGGAGTGAATCGCGTCGCAAACGGAGGCTGGGAGGGCGGCGCGTGAGGCGAGCTTCATCAACAAAAACCGCGCGTGAGAGCATGTGAGACAGTGGCTGACGGTGGCTCGCGACGGAGAGGCCGATCGACGACCTCTGAGTGTGCAGGCGGTGTCAACTCCGGCAACCGCAGACAAAACTCGAAAACCCTAGAAATCCTAGATGTTGGCAGCTGGATTATTAGGGTTCCTGGACCAGAGTGCTCTGGTACCAACTTGAATATGAATAATTTTTTATTATTGAATCTCAATGGGTACAATAAAATAAATAGGCATAAAATAGAATCAATCTCTAAAGTTTAGGGATTTAGATAAAACTGACTAAGGAAACTAAACTAGAAATTAGGAGAAGATAAACTAGTATATCTAAATTATATCTTATAGAATTATCTTAACAAGATTGATCAAAAATTAGGCTCTGGTCTGCAATGTTTGTGTTATGTAAAATATATATAGGAAAAGAATGCTAGTTACTCAACTGCTGTTAGATAGGATTTCATAGCTGTTGGGTAGCTGCCTATATGTAAAGTAGGGCTATTGTATTTTAGACAGACTGGAATATTAATAGCAGTGCAGTGCAGTTTCTTTGATCTCTGTTTCTCTCATCTGTCTCTGTGTCTTTTCTGTTCTATTTCTCCTTCTTCCCCTCTTTCTTTCTTTTTTTTTTTTCTTTGTCATTCTGTTTCTTTCTCTTTCCCACCTAGATCCTATATCAGCTAAAAAATATTTTCATAGAAAATGCTAAAAATGTAATACATAAATAGAATTTAATTATATTAATAAGGTGATGCCACAACACTAACAGAAACAATAGACAATAGTTTTAATAAGGAAAGAGCTGCTTTTGAATGCATCCATCTAGTAACCTGTGTAGAATGTTTTTAGAACTTTTCACTAAAATTCCTTTTGGTTGCCATTTAACCCCTAAATCAATATTAAGTGCCAGAACTAAACTACTGTCTGCACTTAATTACATTTTCAAACCAGCAGACTTGCAACAAAGGGGTGCATCAATTAAATGTACATACATGGGATACCATTCTTTCTGTTTATGCATGCATAAAAACCCTTTGAGTGTACATAAACCCTTTGAGACATACAGATATATTAGCTTAATAATACTGAAAGAAAAAATTTCAAATCCAAGGTATCATACCTTACATCCACTTATGTTCAAGTCAATTATGTATTTGCAGTTCCTCACTATATGTAGTAATCCTGTATCTGTTACCCTGTAATATGATTCATATTTCAGTATGTTACTAAGGATTGATTTTGAATCCAAAAAAAAATCATCAACTGCTATCTTAAACATCAAACATTAAGAAGAGTTTAAAACACCTGACATTCCAGTAGATCGAAAAGCTTTTTAGTTTGGGGCAACAACTGGTTATTGCTTCAATTCCTGTATCCGATATTTTTTGGCAGCCATTCAGATTTAAAGACTCCAAGCTTTGAAGAGAATTAAAACACTAGAAATGCTTAAAAATCTTTGGTTAGAATAGCAGTCAAATTATATTCTACATCATAAAATTTTTGCACAATCATTGTCAACTAAGATTGCCTTCTTTAGTTCTTTATCAATAAAATCAAATTATAAATGTCTAAAAGGAATTATAAGTTATTACAACAGAGAAGAATCAAATAAGACATCTAAATTTTAGCCACAAGCAAGTCAATTAACCCCATTAATCTGCAATCAGATAGTGGATGCCTATTCATAATCTATGATACTGCTATGGCCGTACCCATATCTTTATCTTGTATTAGGTATGATGAACACCTGCTTCTACTTCAACCCATGATCTGTATACCCATTACTGGAATATTCTGACCTGAATATCTTCTTCTCTTATTATTACTCAATAAAATCACAATGACACGTTACATTTGATACATGCATTAACAACTCAACAAGATATACTAACCAAATTTCAAAAGAAAAAGAAAAAATAATCCAAAACCAGATTATACCATATCAGTTTCACCCTTCAAACTCATGCATCAACATTATCAAGCTGAAGGCATCAGATTAGCAAATATGCCAATTTTCCGCACTCTAAGATGTTCGTAATTGTTCGAAGCAAAATTCTATATCACAAAGTCAGAAAATATAAGAATACAGGCATCTTTTCAGAGCAATACACTAACAAATTTGTATGACATTGTTTTCCAGTCAAACCAGCACGGTCCTTCCATCCTTATATTTTTTTTTATCCATGAGAATTACAATGACGACAGCAGAGTTTGAACTTAAGATCAGGCCATACTACCCCAAGCCCCCAGCACTATCTTCCATCCTTATATATAGATGGACATCAAATTCATAGAAAAACATATATATAAAAAAGTATACTATAAGTTACCTTATCCTTAATAACAATGAAATGCGCGTCTTCAACATCTCTTGCAAATTCGAGGTTAATGTGCTTGACAGAGCTATACCTAGGCTACAAAAATGCATCAAATTTCACCCCAAAGAACAAAATTTAGGTCAAATCAAAAGCCATAATTTATTTTTTAAAAGCAAAGACCTTTATTATTACATAGTTAACTAACTTAGTGCAGCGTTAATTGAACAAAAAACAGAAAAATCGAGCAACGTGATGAAACAAAGGTTGATTAAATAAACAAACTAACCAGAGAAAGAGCAGCTAGAAGGCGATTCCCCGCGTTATTTAACTCACGAAAATTGAGCGACTAAATGAAAGCGAAAAGCAAATAAAAAAGAAATTAAAGAAAAGTGAAAATGAAAATGAAAATGAAAGTTGAAGGGTAGAGAACCTGGCAAAGGGGTTGAGAAGAGAGAAGGGTGCGATGGAGAGAGGGAGAGACGAGGAGGAGAGAAACGAGGTCTGTGTGAGAGAGAGGCAATGTGGAGCAGACGAGTTTCAAAACCTTTGGCACTGTCTCTCTGCACCAAACATCTTCTTCATCCATTCCATCGCTACCTTCGCCTTTTCCTCTACCCATTCCTCCAATTATTCAAGCTACGGACTAGCTATGCTATTAGATGGTTTAAATTCTAAATAAAAACCATATAAATGTATATATTTTAATTTAATCACAAGAAGTTTTAGTCCTTATTTTGTTAAGAGAGGCAATAAAGAAAAATGATAAAATGTTCATGAATATTAAATGAAGCATTTAAGTCTATTTATATGTACTATGCATATAATTTGTTCCTTTCTTTAATAAAAACATTTTCTTCATGTATTTCTTGATAAATAGAAACATTTCATCTATATACACTTGATCTTTCTTGTTTCAAAAGTATTTTTTTATTACAATTAAAATACAACCATTAAAAGATGTGCAGAAAGAAAAGATATTAGAAAGGAGGGTTGAATAATATTAATAAAAAACTTATACTTTTTCAAAACAGCGAAGTAGTAGCAAAATTATAGGAGTGCAAATGAAATAGTAAGTCAAAAGAACATAAAATATTTTTATATTGATTCGTCTCAATTATGAAGAGTACGTCTAGTTCTTAATCAAACTCGATCAAGTTTCACTACCTTTTACCAAGAACACGATTGACCCTAGAATATCTACATGATTACTTTTATTATAACCTTATTTAAAATAAAAGAAGCGGAAGATAGAGAAAAAGATTGATGAATAATACCTAGTAGCAAGCTTTATTAATGTTCTTCAAATATAGACGATTTGAGGCGCTTTTTGGCTGCCTTACACACTACACAAATACCTCACAAATCTCAAGAAATATAAAAGAAGAGAGAGAGAAAGAGAGAATTTTTTAGTTATATGGAGTTCTGGATGAATTTTTTTGCCCTGGGACAGTGCTCGAGTCTTCTACTTATAGACGTCAGAACTGACTGGAATAGCCCGTTCCAGTTTCGGAACGGCCCGTTCTGAGTCAGTTTGTTGTGTGTTAAATTTGAATTTGGAACGGCCTATTCTAGTTCTAGAACGACCCGTTCCAAACTTGCACATAACTCATAACAGTCTATGTTGGAACGGCCCGTTCTGTCCCGTTCTCAGCTAGGTTTTTCAAGTCTTTTTAGTAGTTTGGAACGGTTTGTTCTAGTTTAGGAATGACCCGTTTCAGCTTAGGAACGGCCCGTTCCAGTTTTGGAATAGCCCGTTCTAGGCTACTAAACCAAACTTGTTGGGCTTCAAGCCCCTTTGTTGTCATATCATATTGTTTCCATGCATTGGGAGCTTTTTCCTTTCATAATAGAAGTTCATTTCCTTATTTATAGGTCCAAACAAAATTGGGTGTATACACCCACCTGACCCACAATGACATTGCCATCAATCATTGTCAATGCCCAAAAAGTAGGCATAAGGTGCATGGTATCAGTCGCACTTGAGTTTAGTAAAACTTGCTTATCCGGCTTTGTCAAGATAATGCTTCACTAGGTAGCCTTCGTCTTGCAATAGCATTAATGTGATGCTCTTGCCAAGAAGAAATGTAGTCTGAAGATACTCATCGATAGGAACCTTGTTACCACAAACTGGTTAGTTATGGAAGCTATTTGTTAGGGTTTGTGTCTGATTCGAATGTCAGAGCAATTGATAGGGATGAGAGCATGAAAGTGATAAGGCAAAAAAAATTTAAGTATTTGAATGTCAGTGGGTTTAGGTGGTTTTGTTTCGTCGAAAACATGTTAGGTAGGTGAAAGGATAAAGAGAGAGAAGAAAATTAGCCTGATGTGACACACTTCTAACCATCCCACTATGCCATGCATTCCTTTTTGAAATCCTCATTTTGTAATCATTTAAAACATTCATTACATTAAATGCCAAATATACATTTTTAGAAAAAAAATTGATACATTAGAGAATATATATATATATATAAAATAATATGCATCAGATTAATGAGTTAAATGAAGCAAATATGTCCACATAAGCATAAGATGATGCATGATAGATGAAGCAAAATATGAGTAAGACAATCCTTAGTCTAATATGCATTTTAGATTAAGATACTTTCTAATGAACCTATAACGTTCTTTAACTAGAGCTTTGGTAAAGATATCAATCCATTGGTGATCAATATTAGTAAATTTTATATAAAAATTCCTTTTTATACATAATCACAAATGAAATGATATATTTTCTCTATGTGCTTAGCCTTAGAATGTTGTATGAGATTTTTAGATAAATTAATAGCATTAGTGTTGTCATAGAAAACAAATATAGTATGCTTAAGACTATAATAGTCTTCCAGTTGATACTTTACCCATAGTAATTGTGAACAACAATTAGCTATAGAGATGTATTATGCTTCAGTTGTACACAAAGTTATGGTGTTTTGCTTTTTGCTTGCCCATGAAATGAGACAAGAACCCAAGAAGTGATAGCTTTTAGCAGTGCTTTTGCTTCCAATCCTATCACCAATATAATATGTATCACAAAATCCTACTAACCTGAAATAATTATTTTTCTCATAGAATACACTTAGGTTAATTGTACCTGCCAGATATCTAAATATGTGTACTAAGAAAGTTTTTTCTTTCAATCTGTTAAGGAATCATATACATAGAGATTGATTTAGTTATTAGACATCTTAAATAATATGAATTCAAAATAAATGTCTTATAGATGAAGTGATTAGTCTAGCAAACTTTTTATTTGGTGCATTCATTTTATACTCATTGGTCTTAATAAATGATCTAAAAAACTTTTCTACTTTAGACATCTTAAATAATATGAATTCAAAATAAATGTCTAATAGATGAAGTGATTAGTCTAGTAGACTTTTTATTTGGTGCATTCATTTTGTACTCATTGGTCTTAATAAATGATCTAAAAAACTTTTCTGTAAAAAGAATTCTATGTTTGTTATCATTAAACTTTATAACTTGAGGGATCTAAGATCGTCTTTTGAACTAACAAAGAGATCATAATTCCCCCTTAATTGTAATATTTTAAGATATAATGAAATGTATGGTCACAACATATATGTGTAATAGAAAAAAGTTATATATTTTTTTTATTACCAAGACCTGCTCAGGGTAGAGAAAATATGAACCTACGAAAAGGTTATCAAGTCTTGTCAGAATAGTGGCAAGGCTTCAAAAAGGCAAATCCTCAAAGAGGGAAAAAATTGTCGAAATCCTATAAATAAGAGTAACTAAACAACTAGCGAAACAATTTGCTTCCTTAATAGTGAAAACAAAATTAACCAGTCATCTACAAGTTAAGAGATCAATTCTTTGTTGAAAAAGATTAAATAAAAGATAGCGAAAGAAAAAGTTATATCATAATGAGAGTTATATTAATTTAGAAATAAATGATCTTAAATAAAAGACTCCTTTTAACACATTGCATAAAGTTCAAAAAATTCAAAGATTCAAAAATACATAATATATGTTCTCCCGTTTTTGGAAACAACAAAAAGATTAGTCTTGAGTGGATTTTGAGGAATCAATGTCCAGATTGTAGGGATGGAAAAATGGGCTCTGACCCACAGGCTGGCCCTATGGCCGCCAAAAATTGGCGGGCCCGGCCCATCATTTCAACCCGCCAAACCCGCCCTGCCAAACCTGCCAATCTGTCGGGCCAAATGGCGGGGTGGCCCGCCACAACCCTCCAATCCGCATAAGTAATTGGGCTTCAGTTGTTTGCATAAGTAATGGACTTGTTTTGTAGGCTATCAAAAAAATTAGATTATTAGTAATTTGTAAGTTTATAATTTGATTTTAATTTTGGTGTAAGTGAACTAATTTCTATTTGATTTTGTTATAAGTTTGTAATTTACTTTTGTTGAACATATATTATGTACAATATGTATGCATTTTTAACTTCATATGATTATATTTATTTATTTGTAGTAGTTTTTTTTATTTGAACATAAAATATATTTTTTTCCATTTTTTTTTGCAATTTTTTTGTGGTATGTGGGTTGACCCGCCTACTCGCCAGCCCGTCCTTAGACAAGGCAGGTCAGCGTTTTCAACTCATTTTTTATTGGCAGGTGGGCCCGATCCGACCTGTTTTTGACAGGCCATTAGCGGGCCGGACTGGCCTGTTTTGCCACCCCTACCAGATTGAGCTTTGTAGAGAGCTTAGACACAATCTTTGAATACTTACTTGGCTTGGATGTGCTTCCTTTATCTTTGTTCTTAATTCAGCTGAGTGACAAGTTGAATCACCAAGAAGCTTACTAACTTTCTCTTGGGGAATCGCAACTTGGGGAATGTTATTGTTTGCTTCAAGGGAAGGCCTAGGTGGAGTGTAAGTATAAATAAACAAGTATTATTAATTAATTGGTAGAAATGTAGTTAATGAAAAATGTGAAGGGAAATAGATATTGAAAGAGGATGTATAAACTATTGCAAGACTGAATGACCACAAGCAAATAGAGGATATTTCTTATCTGTTAAGGCACCAAATTGATTTTCTTTAGCAAACTTTAGACACCTGATATCTAAGATGTACACTGGTTGAATGAATTTTTAAATTTATTTTTTTTACATGTAATTTGAATTGTCAAATTTACCCTTTAGCAAATAGACGAAATTACCTTTTAATAAATTAAATTTTTGTAGTTACCTTTATGTGTAAGAGGTCCCATTTCGTTTTTGTTGTTCTTAGTTCTACTCCATGTGAAACCATTCCTGTGACAACATAATACAAAGGATACAGTGTTAAGATATTGATTCATTGTTAGTGGGGAGTGTGTCTCGAATCTTGTTGATGTACCAACAAATACTTAAAAAAAAAAACAGAAAAAGATAAAAACTGGACAAACATGCTTATACCGATAAAACCAACTGGTCCACAATAGATCACTTGTTCTTAATGGTAGCAAAAGGAGGGAGAATTTCAAAAAATTGAGTGGCCATTTGCATGGAGAATACATGCTTTACAAAGATGTTGATACATACAAATTTTTCTCACTATTGAAAATTTTGTGAGCCTTTCAATTACAAAAGTTAGACTTCTCAAAATCAACTTTGGACTAAGTTAGATGGAGCTAGAATGGGTCATAACCATTTATAGAACAGGAAACGACATTTTTAGAATGATTATAAAGAATTTTATTAAGGTTTCTAAATTATTTCTTCCTTTTTAATCCATTTCTAGTAGCTCTTTTTTTTTTTTTTTTTTTCTTCTGTTTTCAAGATTTTACTAAATAGAGTAGTCAGAATGAAGAGTAAGCCAATCTCCTATCGATACAAAATGTCTGTTTTTTTTTATTATTGACAAAGATAGATACGAAATGTCATAATTCAATTTATTTTGTCTATTTTAAATACGCATAATAAAAACCTATATTGAAATATAAGTAGCTGACCGAAGGCTATATTAAACATATTCATAATATTAAGATAAAAGAAAATCCTAATCCTCAATTTAATTTTAGGTTGTTATATACAAAGAGAAAGGAAAGGTCAAGTTATCATAAGAGCAACTCAAAAAATGTTACTTCTCATCTCACTTTTCATTTTTTTTATTCTAATAATTAAAGATGAAGATGAAGAGTAAATCCTTTAAATGATTCTTGGAATAACTTAATCCTTTCTCACACAGGTATCTTTTAATTTGCTGAATTACTAGTCTAATCCAACCAAAAGTTAATTTTAACATATTTGAGTCTTTGAAGTTAAACATGATATAAAGACACATTTAGGACATTGTTATAAAAAAAATTGAATTAATGAACAATATTTTGTATAACAAAATATTATATATTTATATATTAATATTATTTATCTTAGAATATATAGTCTAAGTTATACCTTAATTATAATTTTATGTAGACTTAATTGTATTTTTATTCCTTTAGTATAACAATTTAGTGATTTTGGTTCCTAAGATTCTACTTAATCAATTTTAATTTCTCAAGTACGGTAATTGTGAGATTTTGATCTTCAAATTTTAATTAAGCAATTTTAATTTCTTAAATATTACAATTTACAATTTTAGTATCTCAAGTATCATAATTTTATAATTTTTTTTGACCTATTTAAGTTACATATATTATAATTTTCATATATGTATTAAATTATATATATATATTATTACTAAAATTATTAATATATCTAATTTAAATAAGTAAGAATTTGTATAATTATAATATTTGATAAACAAAATCATACAATTATTATATTTTAAGACTAAATTTACTCGAATAAAAATTGAAGGGCCAAAATTATACAATTATAATACTTGAAAAATTAAAATTATTCAATTAAAACTTGAGATACTAAATTCACACAAATACTATACTTGATAAATAAAAACAAACTTAAAACCTTTTATGTATTAATTTTACAAATCACTATACCCGATATTAAACATATATTATGTCGACTAATCAAATCAAGTAAACGCAGCCTGTCTAATGTAGTATCGAGTGTCAGTTAGATAAATCCAGGTTTAAGTCAATCTTTCTATCAACACATTAGATAAAATTTAGGATAAATTTTTCTAAATTCATCCCACAAACACTTCTAAATTGAGACTAAGGAGACTGATGACAAAAATGTAGCATCTTGATTAATTATAAAGTAATTCTTATTCAAATTCAAATTACATGCAAATGATTGGAAAATATGTTAAAACAAGATTAAAAAAAATTAAAAATAAAATAAAAGTTGTGTGAGACATGATGACAATTTCTTTTTTCATCAAACCTTATTCAGTCTCAGAAGTTGGTCTCAGAAGTTGGATTAAGTTCCGTAATAAACATTAGAAAAAAAAAAATATAATTAATGAGCTTAAAATATTTGTGTATACCAAATACTTTAAGTCAAGTCACTCGGAGAGAGAATTGATTTAATGGATACTTCTAGAAAAGGAAAGACAAGATTAGGTAATTAAGCGCAGAACGTTCAGTTGATAGAATAATCAAATCAATAATATGTGCATGCTAATTGGGGATAACTCCTCCTGACTTAACTGTCAAAGGCTAAGGACCCTAACAAAATACATAACAGCATTACTCACCATTTAAACTCAGTAATATCTGCTCATTGTTCTCTTCCATCCAATCTGTTTACAACCTCACACACTTCTATAGACTCTCCGACAAGTCATCCAGTCAGAAATTTTTGGGTTGCTTACAGATTTTGTCTTCTCCAAATGCAGCATTTCTCCACCTTATTTGACTAAACCAGCAAAACCAAGCCAATTGTAAATCTTTCCTATGATAAAAGATTTCATGCAGTAAGGACAAGGGAATGCATGGATTCAGGCAAGACATGGTTGAGTACAGCTTTTCACCATTAAAGTCTGAAATTTATATACAATCAATGTGAGAATGAATTAGTGACGCGACACTAATCTAATCCCAAGCACTTGTTACACCTTGACCATAGCCTCCACCATAATTGCCATATCCACCGCCACCACTTCCACCATAGTAATCTGTTCCTTTATTAGTGGAGTTGTCTCTCCTAAAATCGCGGCCACCAAAACGGGATCCCCCTGACCTTCTATTTCTGTTGCCACCACCGTATGCAGCCCTTGCCGCATATCGGGTGAGCCAGGCAGGTACTTCTTGATTTGCCTCCTGCATCAGATCAGCCAATGGTTTAGCCAAGGACAAATTGCTTTCATTGAAGAAGGCCGTTGCTAATCCCATTTTGCCAGCTCGTCCTGTTCTTCCTATCCGGTGCACATAATCATCAATGTCATTGGGAAGATCAAAATTAACCACATGTGCTACACGTGGGATGTCAAGACCTCGGGCTGCAACATCCGTTGCCACTAGAATTGGTGTAATTCCAGTCTTGAACGACCTCAATGCTAGTTCTCTTTCCTGCAAACAAAACCATTACATTGTACACATTTACTGTCAGGAATACACAGAACAAAAGAAATATATACAAGGACAACTTGATTGTAAATAGAATCTATGGAAAGCTTCGTTGATTTCAATCCTCACATAAAAAGAATGGAGCAGAATATGATTGCCAACAACTAAAAACCAAAAAAACTTACTGTGCCCGAAAAAAGGAAAAAGGTAATTTGAAAGTTCAAAGCATAAATTCTATATGTTCATGGAAAGAGGACATTATAAGTACTAGAAAAGTCAACTGAGAAACAGAAGTACCATTCAATATTATTCCAGGAAATGATGATTTCCTCCCTTTTAAATTTAAAAATTGAATAAAGAATTTCCTTAGAAATTGCAAACTTAAAATATAAATTAAAGAAATTCCATTCAATATTATTCAATGAAATGACGATGGCATGATGATTTCCTCTCTTCTAAATTTAAAAATTGAATAAAGAATTTCCTCAGAAATTGCAATCTTAAAATGTAAATTAAAGAAGTTCCTTCAAAATAGGAATTGGGTTTAAGAGATGAGCTTCATGGTTAATTTGAAATCCCTCGCGTAATTATAATAAAAAACAAAACAGTAGTTTTTTTTATTGAATGAGAAAATTCAGATTTGTGATGCCAATCCCCTTCCTATGGTCATGGATGGGAAATATTAAATTTGATCCTAGATTTTTTTTATATAAAAATTGAGCTGTTAAATTTTTATAATCCCTTTAACATCTCATGGGCAATGTCAAACTTCATCATGACACACAAGTCAAACTCTGATTAATTTCATTCATTTAGACGAAACCAATTCAAGCCCCTGGGGGCACTATATAAGCAACAAAGTAACATAAAATAAATGAAGAAAATAAAGATAATTTTAATGTAATCAGAATGCTGACATGTTTTACATTTTATATATAAACTTCAATTAGTTAAACAGACTCACTTGTTGTGTTCTGTCACCATGAATGCTAGCTGCTGGAAATCCATTAACACACAAGCAGTGTTCCAATGCATCAGCTCCTTTCTTTGTTTCCACAAAAACTAATGTCAGACCTTGCTGCAAAAAACCACCGACAATCCTTAATCAGCAACTCAGATCTACCTACCCTATAACTCTAATGCAAACAGCTGTTCCAGTGCAACATTATTTTTTAAAAATAGTGAATTTATGGCATACACAAATCCAAGGCAGAAGAGCAGCAGTGTGTACAGGTGACAATTTACCTTGCCAGAAATTCCATTTTCCCTTTGAGCATGAAGAAGGTCCATGAGGTGGCTTCTCTTGTCTGACTCAAGCACATACTCTACTCTTTGAGCAATTAGATCAGTACTTGAACCGACCCTTCCAACAGCCAGAAACACATAACTAGCAAGAAAATCCGATGCAAGTCTCTGCATTCAAATGAAGATTGTAACATGTGCTATCTCAATAAGTCATTACAATGACAATTATAATTTATATCATGCAGCTAAAAGAAAATTACATCTAGCATATTTCAACATGGTTGTCAACAACTCAAACCTATTGATTGGAGTTTCTATCTCATATACATGGCATCATCTTCAGCAACAAAGCCTAAATAAATCATTTCACAGTCAAAGACAACCAAACTTAAGTATCTTAGTGACAATTAGAAAGCATCACACTCAACATTTCCCCAACGTTTTCCAAAAGCTATATATATTGCACTTTCTAAACCAACGCATCTTGGTTAAAGGCATCAACACTTTCACCTTCCCAAATCAAGCGACACTTGCAATGATATAAATTTCAAAAAAGCTTGGTTATAGAAACATATGAATCTACATAACAGACTGTTGTAATAGCATTGGGATGGAATCCCAATGAAACAAAATTTGAATTTGGAATATTCTCTATGAACTATTGTATCAAATCTAAGGATGCATTGTTAACACCATTCAATTATTTAAAAAGAAAGAGACGTGTTTGATTTTCTGCCAAATTAAGGATGTCCAAATCAAGGTTCTAGAGGTTGCTATTAACAAGAAATTTCGGGCAAAGGAGAAAACTGCCAAATTCACACCTAGACACTCTTTGAGGGCAAAGTATGAAAGTTATACGCAATTGTTCCATGTTGATCATCATACCAAGTAAAGGAATTTTCCATAAAGTGATCAATATTTCAGTTATGTAAAAGAGACAAAGTAATTGAAATATACAATAAGTTTTTCTCTCTTTGTTCAACCCAATGCTGTCTTCTTTCCCCACTTTAATGTTTGTTACTGTTGAGGTATAATTATTATGTTTTGAAGCAGTTTCTCAAACACCTCAAATAAGGAAATTCAAATTCAATGAGTGCAAGAAGAGTGAAAACTTAAAAACACTTCCTTTTCTTATTTCAAATTATATATACCGCCAGCAGCAAAAAAGAAAAATACCAGAAAAATGCCTATTTTTAGAGTAAACAGATTTTTTAGCATCTTTAAAGAAAAAATGTTTCCAGCTTTTAGGGAAAAAATGGAAAAATCAAGTTTCCCCGAAAAAAAATTTCTATTTACAAAAGTACTTTTGAGCTTTTTCCTTTTTTTAGGAGGAGGGGAGGAGTTCCTCATGAAAAAACATAATCAATTTGAGAATGAGCGATTTAGAGTGACAAACTTTTTCTTTCTTTTAGGGGGGAGTTCCTCATTCAGAAACAATCAATTTGAGAATGCACAAGTTAGAGTGACAAGATACCTGTATCTCTTTGGGAAATGTGGCACTAAACAGCAGTGTCTGTCTCATGCCTGGAGGAGGCATGTCCATTTGTTCAACTATCTTTCTTATTTGAGGCTCAAAACCCATATCCAGCATCCGATCTGCCTCATCAAGAGCCAAATATCTTATCATCTGCAATGACACCCTGGCCCTCTCAAGCAAATCCACCAATCGTCCTGGAGTTGCCACCAGAATATCAACACCTCTCTCGAGCTCCCGTAGCTGGACAATGCAACAGAACATTATTATCTAGTCAATGCAGTGCGTATGCAAAAGTACAGAACCACTAACAGAATAGCCAAAAAAGACATGCACAAGGAGTGCATACCCACCCAGCAACAGTAGATGTGGTCTCACTATGTTAAGAATTAACAAACAACATTACTACATTTACCCGCTCTATATAAACCAAACAAAAACACCACTAAGAATCTAATACAAATTACATTTCCAGTCCACATTAAATAAAATCTTGTAACATGAATTTAGAAAAAAGTACAAGCCAAGAGACTGATTTTTTGTCTTGGAAATCATTAGAAACAGTACCATAGAGTTTCAATAAAAAGTTACCAAATACTTGTGGAACTATCATACTAACACTGAAAAGCCAGGTTAATAAGAGGGGCGAGCCTTAAACTAAAAATGGAAAAAACCGTCTTGCTAAAACCAAATTTTTATAGGGAACATGAGACTTAGAAGACAATAACAAGCATAATTAACTACTTGTTCACTTGGTTAATTCTTATCCATTCTACCACCCACTCGTATGACAAAGAACTCCTCTTCTCCAAATACACTATTACACAAATTCTCAAAACTCTGGCCCTTATATAAGCAGGTGGCCCATCATTGAAAAAAAAAAGCAGATTTGGTGGCAGGTATGTAAGTTAATCCCACAAGCATAACATGAATTCATATGAATTTAAAGCACAGGAAATTAGTAAGACGGCATGGATAAAGTATATACAAGTAATAACAGAAAAAGAAAAGGCAGCCACAATTTCAACAGGAAATTGTTGATATTATGTGCACATACATAATATCAATCATTAATTTTCTTATCAACAATTGATATTACTTCAACCTTACTCCCTTCGGAGAAACCAAATTTGTTCATTTCAACACAACCTTGTCCGTGCTAGAAATGAAAATTGGTATGATTTTTATTTAATAAGTTATGTTCCTAATTAAAACAAATCTATGCACATATAAATATTGCATGCATATTGATAGGTAAAAACCCCAATGTCAAGGAGATGATAGTAAATAAAACAATCGGAACAAAGTATATAGGCAAAGGTTAAAATAATGGGTAAAAATAACCTGTTGGTTGATTGGTGCTCCTCCATAAGCAACCACCACTTTGACACCTGTTTGATAAGAAAACTTTTTGGCCTCATCATGTATCTGCGGCATAAGATCATTTTGCATCTTGAGGATATGGGTAGACAGGTATACATATGAAAGTAGTACAAACCAGAATCTAAAATCAGAATAGCACCTGACATGAAAGCTCCCGTGTAGGGGAGAGGATGAGCGCCAGCGGAAAAGCAGTTCGTGCTACGCGCGGTCTTTGAACATACTGCTCCCTCATGATCCCACTTATAATAGGGAAGCAAAAGGCAGCTGTTTTCCCAGACCCAGTCTGAGCACAGGCCATCAAATCTCGCCCCGCAAGGGAAATCGGAATGGCATACCTCTGAACTGGGGTCGGTTTCACATACTTGCATCTCTGTATATTCTGATTCAATGCCTCACCCAAATCTATTTCAGCAAATGTGTTCACAGGAGGGGGCACATTTTCCCCACTAGTCTCCACAGGGATATCATCATAGGCCTCAAAGTTAATCCCCGTGTTCTCTTGTTCACCTAAAGATTGTTCCTCAGCTTCATCATTCTCAAAAGGGTTTACCTCACGCCTCCCTCGGTCCCTCCCCGCCCCTCTACCATTCCAGCCACCACCACCACCACTCTGAAAACCAGAACCATAACCCTGCCGCCCGTTATCCGCTTTAAAGTAACCCCCATGATGGGGAATTGAACCACCATGATTCACCCGGTCATTCGCCGGCAAAGAAGCTGCCACCGCTGTCCCCGCCGCCGCAGCCGCCGGAGCCTCAGACGACATTGTCCGGTTGCGAAGATGCGGAGGCACATATGCTGCCCGGGGAGCCCAGGCATTGGAATTGCCAGAACCATTGGCTGAATTGTCAGCAGAATCCGCCCATGAAGTTCTCATAGTTGCAGAAATCGTGACCTTGCTCTCACAACAAGCAAATGCAGAACTAAACAAAACAACGAAACACCAATCCACGATCCTCTTACGTGCACGCTCTTTTATTATTACACAATCACGATCAGCTAAACAGCAAAAAAAAAAAAAAAAAAAAAAAAAACAAAACCAAATCAAATCAAATCACACAATATCCGAGATCGCCGCAACGAGAACTAAAATTTCAAACTCGAAATCCGAAATCGCGAGCCGCGAACGCGAAATCGAGCAAAGAAAAACAACGGACTGCGGAACAATTATCCGAAAACCGAACAACTTTTCAAATTGCAAATCGCTTGCCGAGAATGAAAAAATCCACAATCCGGAAGCAGTAGATCGAGAAGAAAAGCGAAAGCACGCGATTTCTGGCAGCAATGAGCGAATCAGATTGAGAGAGAGAGAGAGAGAGAGAGAGAGAGAGAAATAAGCGAACCTGGAGGAATGAGAGAAGAAACGAACTTCGATTGAGATTTTCTTCTTTTTTTTTTTCTTTTTTGGATGAACACCTTAGCGAGGATATCGGTGAAAGGAAAGGAGATTTTGTTTCTCAGCCTTTTCCAAGTTGAATCAAAACTTTTTCCTTATTTTCTCTTCACGCTTTCTACGCTGCCAAGACAATGTTTTTTGCGCTGAAAATAATAAGATGGTAAAAATATGTGAGTGAAATGTGAAATCCACCGGCGGAAAAAGAGTTTGCGTCTGAATATTCTCTCTATTCTATTCTATTATTGAGACTTAACTCTTGCTTTTTTCTTCTCGGACTTTACCTCTCCAACCAAATTAGTCTTTTCTTTTTCTTCTCTTTTTCTCCCTATCCCTTGTTCTTATATTCACGACTCATTTTTACTTTTTTTTTTAAGGGTTTACTATTTTGAAACTCACAAAAAAAAATATATTATATTTAAATATATAAATTTTATATATGAAAAAATTCTTAAATATATAAATTATATTTTAGATTTATGATAAAATAAAATTATTTTTATTAATCGATAATTTGTTTTAAAAATATTAAAATGTAATTTATAAATAATTATGATATATAAAAACTAAATTACATTTTTTATCACTTTATTTTCATCAATATACAATTTGATCTCTCTATTTTGAAATAGAGAGATTTAGTTCCTCTAATTTTAAAAATACTGAATTTTAGCGTTTTATCAAATTAACATCTACTAATGTTAAATTTTAATATTTATTCATTAAATGATGTAACATTTTGTAACATTACATTTAAAAATAAAAAAATTTAAAAATATAAATAAAATTTTTATTAATAAAAGAAATACGAATTAATCATAAAAATACAAACAAATAAAAATCTTTTATATGTTATTTTTTAATTTGTATTCTTATATGTCACTTAAGCTGGAGAAGGTATTAAGGAATTCATATTCAAACTCCTGAAAAACATGACTAACACTCATATAGTTGACCTAATATTCATGCTTTGGTGCAATTGGTGGAGAAGGAATGATAAATTTGGAACACAGTTACAACCCCACCTGGTTTATCAATTTTCCTTATCAGACAAAGTTTTAACAAGTGGAACCAAGCAAAAGCTAGGGAGATCTCAAATTCTCCAAAAATGATCTCATACCAATTACTGGCTGGATTAAGCCCCAGGCAAACTCTTTCACATGCAATGTAGACGCAATAACCTTTCAAGATACTACAAGTTTTGGCTATGGGTTTTGCATTCAAAATGAGTATGGTGCTTTTGTGGCTGATAAATCAGGCTAGAATCATGGATGATTGACATAGGTCAAAGGAACGTAACCATAGAGTCAAACTTTAAACAAGTCGTGGATGATCTATCTAGATCCACAAAAATACATCTCTAAATATGGTTTTATCCTAAATCAATGTAGATTGTTACTCAATACCCATTAGAACTTAGGTTCATTCAAAGACAAGTTAGTGTATCGTTCACTCTTTAGTTAGGATGTTAAGATTTTTCACTGGTCATCATGTTTTTTTTATTTTAATTATTGCTTCTATTATCATTAATGAAATGGGTTTAAGTTTATTCTCTTTAAAAAAAATAAAAAGTGATGACAAATCACAAGACAAAGTCAAAATTTAATAACATAAAAAATAGAAGAACAAAAATGTGAAATTTAGTCAATAAGATAAAAAGTTAAAAAGGCCCTTAAAAATACTTTCATAAAAAAAGGTTCTCAAAAATGCTCTCAAGTAAAAAAAGACATTTGTGTTTAATATTATTAAAATTTATAATAAATTAGTGGGGGTAGAGGCACTTGGTGCCATTATGTATTTTGTTTAAAAATAAAATTAAAAATAATAAAGGTTAAAAAATATAAATCAAGTGAGATGATATATAATTATAAGAGAGTAAAATAATTTTAAACAAAATTGGAGATTAAAGACAATTACAAAATAAGAGGATAGTTATTATTGATAAAATGGATAATTATTTTTTTATATATACATATTTTTTTCTTTCATTTTACCCTTGAGAGATATGATGGTGGAAAAATAATTATATAACAAAGGAGTATAAATGTCTAAAAAAAGTTAGAAACAAAAAGGAAGTATCCCCTTTAATATATTTTATTTAAAAAATTTAAAAATAAAATAAAAATTAGGTTAAATAATAAAGGTGTTTGAGAATTTGAGTAGTTAGAAAAAGTTAGCTTATTTTAGTGGTTAATTTTTAATATTATTTTTTTATTATTCAAAGATTTAAGCGTAAAATCATTTAAAAAATATAGAGACGAAAAAACGAGTATAATCATAATGGATAAAAAAGTCTAATAAAAATGGAGACAAAAACGATTATTTTAAAAATATATTTCCTTTATTAATAGTTATATAATTTATATATAGGTATAAATACATACATAAATACATATATACATACATACATACATACATACATATATACATACATACATAAATACATACATACATACATACATACACACACACACACATATATACAAAAATGGCATACTTGAAGATAGTTTAAACATATTTAAGCCGCACTTGAAATTTTTTTCAAAAGTATCTTAATTCATGGCACAAAATAACACATTTGTTGCTTTTGCTTCTAGTTACAAGTGCTTCATGTCTTCTTCATCGTATTCATCTTCACTTTTCTCCACTTCTTCATTGTTCACTATCTTTGTTGGAATTTTTGGTCCATTTTTTTATGACAAACCAAAGTTTGAAGTCGACGGATTGTATGAATATCGCATACGCTCCTTCCACTCAGTGTAATTTATGTCATCGAAATATGGTAGCCTCAAAATAGGTTGTCCTTCAGTGACGATTTTTAGATTACTACCTCCAATTATACCAGTTTTCATATTACTACCTATTAATTTATTATTTTTTATTTTAAATACTTGACTAATTTTTTTTTTCAATTTAGTACCTGACGTTGGTTCCCCTTTGTTAAGTGATGACATGATTGAAGGACTACCACGTCATCACCCAACAGTGTCTGCCACGTCATCTAAATGTCCATGTGGCAGTCCTTTAGATGATGTGCCAGACACTATTGGGTGATGATGTGGCAGTCTGTCAGCCACGTTATCACTTAACAGAGAAGGATTAACATCAAGTACTAAATTAAAAAAAAAAATTAGTCAAGTATTTAAAACAAAAAAAAATTAATAAGTAATAATCTGAAAACTGACCTAATTGGGGGTAGTTTGAACATATTTAAGCCTATTTTATATGCATGGCATTGCTGTGTTGTTGAGATGATGAATGTTGAGATGTTTTAAGCATTTAGGCATGGTGTTGTTGAGTTGTGATGAACAACCTAGGAATAGAGGAGAGATTGTTTTTAAAGTTGCATATCACATTGTGTGGATATTGTATTGTGGTGCTCTAAAATTCTAATTTGTTATAAAACCCTTCTTGAGAAGTTGATCCATGAAGAGGAAAAATGAGTCTCCTCTAAGACCTTAGTTGGTATCGAGTGTAGGCAAGGTCAAGGTACACATGTATAAAGTGACCATAGTATAAGGGCAAGGTTGAACTATACTGATTACAAGTGATCAACCGAGTAAAGTACGAAATCGAGAATTTACTTCCTAACCAAGTATTAGAAGGCATAGTATTTGAAGGCTAATCAATGGACTAATCTCATAGGAGGCTTAGTTAAGCTAGCTAATGTCATGATAGACCTATAGCCAACTATTCTACCTGATAGTAGTATTAGACTTCCTTGTTTAAATAGCTACATCTGGGAAACCAAGTTATGTTGTGCATCGATATCCAATTTGTTGTTGATCTATCAAGCCCAAAAATATCACTCTATGTTGTTGGTTCAGTAGGGTCAAGCCACCTAAACTACTCATTTTGTGTTGTAGGAGATCTCCTAGTCGAAATGCGTGATGACACATGTAGTTGCTATGTTATATATACTATGTTGTTGTGATGAAAAATCTAAGATGTTAATGTAGTAATGTTCAAGTTGATATTATGTTATAGTAGACTGAGTTGCTCATGTTGATATATGTCGGTTGTGTTGTGATGTTATATGTTGATACTGTTGAAGGTACAAGGAAGATGTGTTGATATATTAATATTGTTGATGTTTCATGGTTTTTATATGTTGTCCCTTTCGATTATAGCTTACCTTTATGTGTTTTTCATGTAATTTGGACTATGATGATCATATGTGGTATGAGAATAAAGAAGGGATAGGTATGAGGTGTTGTAGCTGAGGTGACTATCAAGAGGATGGTGAGGTTGCTTATATTTTTGGATGCTACCATAATGCAATACTTTGTATGGGAGTTGTTTGATCAATAACTTAGATTGTATAATTTACTTTTACTAGATTACTGTATTTATATCACATATGGTTGTATAGTTGTTTCATTTTCATATAAATGATATATAGTTAGGGATGACAGTAAGTATGGTTTGGGTAGGATCTCATAGTACTAACCCCTATACCCATGTTTAAAAATAATATTCGTACTCCGCCCCATACCCAGGTGGGTAGCAATTTTAATCCACATCCCCATACCCATTGGGTACCTATGTGCCCATACCCGCACCCACACCCCTCATTTTACTTATGTATTCTTGGCAAATTAAACTACTAGCATTCTTCAAATAATACAATACAAATATAGAATAACCTATTCATACATTCTCTAGTTCTATTCCATTACCTTTGCTGAAGTTGGAACATAAAACTTTCCTAAAATAAAACAAAACATTTTTTTATTAGCAAATAAAATAAAGCATATGTGAGAATAATTAGAAACCTTTAAATCTAACAATTAACAGCCTAAAGGTGGTGTTATATGAAGTTACAACTGACAAGTCTTCCAACAATTAGCAAACCCAACGTGGTGGTGACACAAGGACATGAGGTGATGAGATAGTGACATGAGATAGTGATGCAAAGTTGCAAGGCAATGACACAAGGCAGCGACACGAGGTAGAGACAAGAGCAAGGACGATACAAGGTTGGTAAGCGATGGCAATGGAAGGTGGGACGTGAGGCAAATGACGAGCGATGACATAGTGGGTGGATGAAGACATAAGATTACAAGAAGAAAAAATTAGGTTAAACAAGGTTTTAGTTATAATATCATAATATAATTTAAATAAATAAATTATTATTAAGTAATTATACACACACACACTCATATATATATATATATGATTAATATATATATATATATATATAT